TGTGTAGATAAGGGAATTAGTTTCTGTCATAAATTTGTTAACGTAGATAAAGGATGAGATTTTGTAAGCTTGCAATTGACTTATCAATTTAACAAATGAAAATTAAAGCACGCATTCAAGAAATTGATTTCAAATTGAAGTAGATGTAATCATCACATTTTAAACTTGTTGGTTATTGCATTCTTAATGGGTTATGGTGTGTTTACTTGACAGTGTGTTGAGAGATGCCATGGTGATAATCTTATAAGTCGATTACCCGATGACATTCTCCTTATTATCTTATCTTTCCTCTCATTGAAAGAAGCTGGGCGAACAAGTGTTATTTCTTCTCGTTGGAGAAACCTGTGGAGTTACACCTCACATCTCAACTTTGATGACTATACTTCGATGGAGAAGATTATCAGGGCTTCAGAATTGCACAGTGTCAGTGTTGAGAGGGAAAAATATGTAAAGTGGGTGGATTCGGTTCTCCAATCACACCGAGGTTCCACCGTGAAAGAATTAAGAATATGCTTTAGTTTAGTCAAATCAGCCAGGAACTCGATTACGAAGTGGCTTGAATTTGCTTTCGAGAGGCACACCGAAAAGTTGGAGTTGAACCTTTCAGATGGTGACTTTATTCATGACCCAGATGAAACGTACGTGTTTCCTCAAGAGTTATGCAGTTCTTCAGACGGTTCTTACAAATGTAGTCGACATTTCAACTGTAAGTCCATAAAAATGTTGTCCTTGGGCGGTATTCAAGTCTCTGGTGAAACTATTGAGTTTTTCTTATGTGGCTGGCCATTGCTCGAGCAGTTACGTGTCAGTGCCTCTGATAATTTGACACGTCTCGAAGTTTGCGGACCATCCCTTGTATTAAAGCATTTGGAGATATGGGGTTGCGTTTTTTTAAAATCCTTAAGAATTTCTGCTCCGAAACTAACTTCACTTGTACTTTTTAAAATAGAAGGCCTCTTGCTTGAGGACGTTCCAATGCTTACTAGTGTTTATATGACCTACGCGGACTCTTGGATTCCTTCTACATATGTAGAGAGATTAATTTCTACCCGTCTTTCCCAATTGGAGATCCTCACCTTTGACATTTATTCTGAGAAGGTAAGGTGTCTTTCTACATTGGTTTATTTTTCACTTAATGAAGCTTAGTGATTGTAGAGTAAATATAAAAATTGATAATGGAGCCCTATTGTTGATTTGACAATCATCACGTGGTTAAATTTGGTGGGTCATATAATACACAAATGATTTGTCAAATTAACAGTACTAACATGAATTTATTATGTTATATATTGGAATTTTTTTTTTTTAAAAAAAAAAATTATTTATTTGTTATTGCAGGAGCTTTTATCGATGATCAAATTCCCCATGATGCCTAAACTTAAGAAGCTGGTCATCATTGAAAGTTTACGTGGTGTGGACTCGAATCTTCTTGGCGTTGCTAATTTTATCAGTGCATCTCCCAACCTGCAAGAATTTGAGTTAAAGGTTGGTCTTTGTAAATTTTATCCATGCTATCTCGTCATCATTGAATGGCTTTACTACCTGTGTTTGTTGTCGTATATTATTTATAGGTGTTAACTTAGTATATGAACTTATTTAATTTTCACTTGTATGGGCAGCAATGGTGGTTTAAAGTTGAAAGGTCAAACAACGAGATTCAGAAGGGATTGAAGCACTTCCCACTGCACCAGCACCTGAATGTTTTTCGGTTTTTAGGTTATTATGGTTGCCCCAGTGACGTTGAATTAGTGAACTACTTGTTGGAGAATTGTGCAGCGCTTAAGGAAATCTATGTTGATACCCAAACTTCTCTACGCATGGCATACGAACCACCTGATCCCGAACAGTTAGAATTGGCTGAAATAGCAAAGGTTTACGCCAAACAGCAGCTGGAGCCGCTAGTACCTAACCACATTAGGTTATTTATATGCTAACCATTTTTGTGTTTAATACTCTTGCTTTCTTGGTAATTTATGCTAGAACCTGGTGTGATTTATTCTGTGTCTTGTGTTTTTGTGACTTGTGTTGTTTATTACTATTATGGATATGGAATGATACTTTGCTTTTGTTGTACTATCTTGCATGTGAAATATTTTTGGCATCAGCTTATTTGGGGTTGTGTGTATTAGATTCTCATCCCATTCTTTCATGTTAGTGAGTAGATTTATTTCCTTCACTGTTCTTGCTGGTGTAAAATTTTTAGAGTTTACTTCATTTTTCTTGCTCTGTGTGCGACTTATTAAGTAGGGCTGAGCACGGGTCTTGGAGATTACCGAATCGTACCGAAAACCGAATCGAATTCACCCCGAACTGAAAAATATCCGCTGACTGTTTGACTATCTTCAAACCGAACCGTACCGAAATTTTTTTCGGTACGGTTCTGGAGATTCATAAAATATTCATACCGAGAATCGAACTGAATCGGACCGAACCGAAAATAACCGTACCGAACCGAGGAACCGAACAAGAAACATTTACAATTCATAAAATCCACATATATATATTATATTATTTTATCATATGTATTTTTTTACACTTTGTACATAATTTTATTCAAATAAAATCTATATACATTATGTATATGTCTATAAAACTACCATAAGTTATATGTCAAATTGAGTTGCGAAAAATCATCCATTGTTGAATGTTAATAGAATTTAAAACCTAAAAAAATAATTATTTTATTATGGTACTGCTTATGAGACACTAAAATCTAAAATCTAAAATATTCTTTTATTTAACAACTATAAATTGATTATTGTCCATGTACGTTTTATCACATGCAGATTTTTTGGCATATAAACGTTTATCATAAAAACATTTCAAATTACATTATGATATTTTGCAACTAAAACATTATTATCAATTTTTGTATAAAATAAAAAATATTTTAACCACCTATTCTTACTATTAATTGACAAAATATCTTTTGAAATTAAGATAGGTTTATGATTTGCTTTCATCCATGATATGTACCATCTAAAACGCAATTAGGAGATTTAAAAAAAAAAATTGAAAAAATCTCTGAAATCTCCGAAATATCCGATCCGTACCGAACCGACCCATTGGAATCGAATCTCCGGACCGGTCCGGTTCCGGAGATCCGGTTTTTCAAATCTCCGAAGTTCGGTTCGGTTCCGCCGGAGATTTCTGGATCTCCGAACCGAACCGATCCGTTCTCAGCCCTATTATTAAGAGCATCTCCAACCCACTCTTCATACAAGCAGGAAACGGGTGGGTTGGAGGAAAATCATCTCCAATCGTCCCTGTACCTTTGGCGGAAACGGCATAAGTGATTTTGTGGAACGGTTGACACACCGTTCCTCTGTTTACAAACGCTAGGTTTTTTTCTTTTTTTTTTTGTTTAAAATGAATTTGGATTTTTATTTTGGGCCTATGTTATGAACTTAGATTTTTCTTAATCTTTGTTTTCATTTTTCTGTATTTTTGATAGATAGATGAGAGTGATTGGAGCTGTGGGGGGAGATAGATACAGAGAGATAAAGAAATGGGGGAAGAGAGGTGAGACACGA